ATTTTGAACCGTTGTAGGTAATCACGAGGTGATTCGTCCGATGCTTGGCTCATTCTTGCCAACTCGGCGACCGTTATCACTCGGTTGGTCTGATAGAAATGCTCATGGAACACCCGTTCCATATCAGACCAATCCCTTATTGAATTCGGCGGAAGGTTTATGAACCATGAGAACGCCGCGCCGGTCAAAGAATGAACAAATAGTCGGAGTCTCTGAGCGTCCGAATCGGCCTCTCCACACTGGGATGTGAAACGGCCGATGGGTTCAATGGAGGAGGTCTGCCCATCCCCAGAGAAAAGCATGAACTCTGGCAATCGATAGTTCCGGCGGAGGAGGATCGGGTCAATTTCTGGCGGGTACGGCCTCGTGTACCTTGGCATGTCCGGCCGCCTCTGAGCTAGGCCGTCCTCGATCATCCGCCGGACATCTTCGAGCCGGATCCCTTGAGGTGGTGCCTCCAGTTGGGCTGTATACGGCCGCGTGGCCTGTAGCACCTCGCTCTGAGGCCTTGCCTGCTGGGCCATTTGAACAAAGGGCTTGGCCGGGATGACCGAGCTGGTTGATGCCAGATGAGCACCGTGGGTTTGACCAAGGTGCGTATGCCTGTTGCTGGAACGGCCGACCCATAGTGAAGGTGAGAGCCCAACGGACACGACGACGCCTGCAAAGGTGGTGAGACGGTCAGGCTGCCCTGACCGTACTGTTGTGATGATACGGCGGACGCGTTGCTTGGGCCAGGATGGGTGTGGACGGCGGCAGTATGAACTGAGCCGAGTGGGTGGATCGCAGGATGCGTGAAGCTGCCGTGCCCTAGTGATACGGCCAAAGCATGGAGCGGTCCGCGCGCTGTCTCCACCGAGTAGGTTGGTCCAGAATTCGTCAACACAGGCTGGGATTGCCCCCAGCTATTTGTCGGTGGCAAAGAATGCTGGCCGTAGCCTGATGCTTGGGTGTGGGCCGAGACGCCGAGGCTGCTGCTTTCGCCGTAAGGCTCGATTCTGTCGCGCTCTTGGCTCCTCGTTCCGGCTCTGGGAGGTGTTGTGGGCGAGGCCACCGGCATCCTCTCTTGAAAGAGCGTTCGCAGTTCTGAGGAGAACCTATCCATCGCGGCCATGAAGGATGTTTCTATCCTGTAGGCCTGCTTGGACATCAGTTCCTCCACCACTGCCTGTTCCTGCATGGATTCGGCCCTGCGATCCGTCGTTACTGGAGCGCCGGCCGAGATCCCGACCGTATGGTGGACTCAGGAGTCTCAGAAGTCATTTGACTGCTTTGTTTTTGAGCTTTGCCTGTGCCCTAGTTTCCACCATAAGTTTTTGACAGTTATCCCACCGGGCGTGCCGAAAGTGTCTGCCGCGCAAATCTCACGGCCTAGAGTTCCGGGCCGAGGGGATGTGCGTTAACACGGGGTTTCCTGCTTTTGGGTGTGGTGCAGTTGTGCGCGGGCGTGCCAGCACGGTCTACCGTGCGTCGATGTGTTGATGAGTGTTCGATGGATAAGTGGTGCGCCTGTTTGATCTGTCTTCCTAGTCAAACGATTGTAGCCGAGAGTGGAACTGGTCTCGGCTGTTAGGTTCACGGCCTGAACTACAAAGCCATTGAGTGATGGTGTTGGTGGTGGGTTTTGGGCGGTGCTCCGGCGCGCTGCTCAGGGAGCGACGGTCGTGTGATATATGGGGTGAGTGAACGAACAACAAGGATGGTGCTCCGGCGCCTTGAAAATCAAGGGTCGTGTGATATATTGATGAATGGATTTGGTTTACAATCTACCACTACTCCTAGGAAAGCAAGTAAAGATATTGAAAGTGCATTACAGGAAAAAATAAGTTGCGCCGTGGGAGGCTTGTTTGGTGTTTGAACCCTTTGAATGTAGCTCGAGTCTTGTATTTATAGGAAGAATCCCTGGATGAGTAATCGAGGCTGAATTTACGCATAGTGGAGTCTGATTAGCGCAAGTGGGCA